ACCAGAATTTTCCTGGTTCTATAATAAAAAAAATAAGAATAGCATTTATATAGTGCTTTAAATGTTGGGGAAAATAACACATTTACTAGTGCAGACAACAGATCTGAATTTAAATTTCTTCCCTTCCTTCTCTTTAGCCATATAAATAATGCACTAATCATAAGTAGTCAGACTGATAGTTTTATTATCATCAATATGTGCAATGTACTCAGAAATTAGTACATTTTAATGATGAACTTCATTTTCAAGAGATGCAATCTTTTTTAAAGAAAATGGCATATCATGGAGGTATATACTGTTCTAAAAATGTCATTTATTTTTTGATAGTGTTATTGGGCTGATAAATCAGATAATGCCATATACATAGAGTGCATTAGGATTTCAACAAGACTTTGAAAGCCTTACTCATGAAAATTTTGTAGATGAAATGAGGAAATGTGGACATAATGATAATGTGCTCCTTTCTGATTGAATAACCATGCTTAAGAGAGGGCTGATGAAAAATTGTTTTTCAATCTAGGATTCTATAAAAGGCTTGCCATAGAACTTTGCATTTATTTGGTTCAGTGCTTGAAACCTAACATCATTGTTTCTTTGAAAGCTCCACAGATGATTCCAATATGCAGCCAAGTTGGAGAACCATTATTATAGGACTAGTAGCCCAATTAATGAAATTTGTGTGTGTGTGTGTGGGGGAGTGTCTCTCGGCCCAGTCAGCACCCTCTCAAATCTGGGACCCCTCAGACATCCCTCTCACAATCTGGGACTGCTGGCTCCTAACTGCTCACCTGCCTGTCTGATTGCCCCTAACTGCCTCTGCCTGCCAGCTTGATTACCCCCTAATTACTCTTCTGCTGGCCTGATTGATGCGTAACTGCTCACCTACCCGATCACCCCAACTGCCCTCCTCTGCTGACCTGATGGCCCTCAACTGCCCTCCCCTGCTGGACTGATGGACCTCAATTGCCTTCCCTTGCCAGCCTGGTTGCCCCCAACTGCCCTCCCCGGCCAGCCTGGTCACCCCCAACTGTCCTCCCTTGCCATCCTGGTCTCCCCCACCTGCCCTTCCCTTCTGGCCTGGATGCCCCTAACTTCCCTCCCTTGCCAGCAGCCATCTTATGGTAGCCATCTTGTGAGATGTAAGGGTGTTGCCTGAGGGCCACCTAGGCTTTTATTAGTATAGATAAGTGGTTTGCATACTGTTTTTAGCACCCAGATGCCTCTTATTGATTCCAACAACTCTCTTCCCAAGATCCAATGTTTGATTCCATTTCAAAGATGGTTAAAACAAGGGTAGAATGAGAACACTTAAATTTCATATCAATTTCGATAATGGTTTGGAAATTACACATAAAATGACCTCCATCCACAGGGTCCAGTAAGGCCTTCAACTCAATGTCACAGACATTTCACAAATACCACATTCCATCAGAATTCATTGAACATAACTGGCCCTTTATGTGTGAAAGCAAAGTTAATAGAGAGGCACTCTTTTGGTGCTGAGATTTAAAAAAAGATTTGTATTATGAAAATAATTTTGCCTCCTTATTTAGAATCAGGTCATTATAATCACAAGTTTTAAAAATTTATAAAAACAAGTCAGGTTGATGAGCAGAACACCAATATTTGATTTGCATATTGAGGGAAAGTTTGATTTTAACATCAGTCACTTTGGTAAACAGAAAGAACAAGACACATCATTATTGGAGAATACATTAAAAATGTCCATGGGTCACATAACAACATGTCCAAGGTCAATTATGTTGAGTACAAAGACTTCAGGCAGTGGAGGAAGAAAGAAGCTTGTCTTCTCTCTGTCTCTGGAAGGGTACCAATCTCATAACATCAGTACACTCAATTAGTACAAAACAATTTACACTTAAAAAAAATTCTAGTTGTACTCTCCTGCATACACAGGGGAAAAAATTCCACACACAGGGAATGCAGCTCCCAATTTACAAAGTAAAATTCCAGTACTTTATAACTGGGAGGGGGTGACTAGTAGCTAATTCCTTGCCCCTATGATGTGTTAACAGGCAAAATTTATAGACTGGGTGCTCAGTTGTAACTGACACAACAAAGGCACACACACACACACACACACACACACCCCACAATGAAATTCAAAAATACCTCAAATATATAGCCCTAGTTTTCACCTTTAACCTCTCCTGTTCAGTGTTGCCTGTTCATGATAATATAACTGAACGGTGAAACCCCTCCCCCCACTCCTTGAGGGTATGAGTATATAACCAGTGTGGAGGGGAAGGTTTGAGGAAGTGGGGAATCCTATCTCCCCTCATGGATGAGTAAAAAGCCCTCTAAAGATCCCTTTTCTTCTTTTCCTTTCTCACATTTTTATTTATATATATTAAATGTCTCTCTCTAATATATTTCCTACAATAAGCTAGATACTGTGCTAGGTGATTAACATCCATCATTTCACTTAGCTTTCATACTAATTCTGCAAGATAGATTTTGTCCCCATTTTAGACAGGAAGTTGGCATTTAAAGGTTTTACATGAATTGCTGAAGGTTACAGAGCTTATATGCTATGGAGCTAGGACATACCCATATTTGCTTGACTATATGGGCCATTTTTTTTTTCATATCAATGTGCTACGCTCTACCACTCTGTCTTCTTCCCATTTCTTTCCTTTTTCCTCCTCAAAGCCTATAGTGGTGGATGGGTGGTAGTACTGAAAGGATTTTAAAGAAAGAAGCACTAACCTAATCCTCCTTTATACTTCTCTTGAATCTGTCTAATTTTCTATTTCCCCACACATGACCTGGTGATCAGCATCCAAGAAAACATTGGCTTCCTACAGGCTCATGTTATTTTTTCTTCTCCAATCTCTCCATAGTTTTAGTGACTACATTTTTAAAATCCAAAATAAGGGCTTATAGCTTGATACATTGTGACTTCCATTAGAGAATATAAAGACAACATATTTAAAATAAAAACTAAAAATGTACTTGTGATGCCTAGCAGAGAGATTAGAGGGCTGGCTCAATATGGATTTGATGAATATTATATTGGAGATTGATCACACATGGAGAGTAATGAACAAAGTTATAGTGCATCTTATCAGTGGACTTCAAAAAGGTGGTCTTTCTGACAGGCTTTTTTGTTATATTGCCTTAATGAAGGCTTCCTGAACCTGGTGTTTTATTAATCTGCAAGTACTTGTTTAGATACAAGGCTGTGGATTCTAAGAGATAAACTGTTAATTATGCATTATAACCCCAGGCTAGAAGATGCCTATAAAAATTAAAACATGTTTCTTTTTTTTCTCTAACAATTAATGGCCTAGCAACAGAAAGATCAATTGTATTTGGGAAACTGAAGAAGGTAATAAATACATTAATGAAACCAGTCGCTTTGCAAAGTCATTTATTAAATCATTAAATTTTGCAGGTTGTAAATTACTCATTAGAATGCAGAAAGCAAAATAGCCATAATCCTGTTTAGTGCCTCCAAATTCCAAAGATTTAGAGAAGGAAATCCATGAAAATAAATGGGCCTTATGTGGTTTTTTGTTCACTTCTATTTCTTAATGAGCAAAGGAGGTTAAACAATAAGGACAAGCTCAAGTACTTATCCTAATGTGCTAGTCCACAGGTCAGGAGTGAGCTTGATTAAATTCATAGAGAGCTGACCTACAAAGGGTGGGAAAATGCCCCTTCTTTTCCGCTGGGCCCTGCAGGTAACTAATCAATGTGCACATCTCACTTCCAGATTTTTTTCATGAGTTCAGAGCAATAGTCCATAGCATTCCTATCTGTTGTTTTCTAATTAATTAGTGAAGGGACTAGGACAAGAGAACATGTAGCAGAGAGGAATTAAGAGGAGTTGAAGAGGATGCTGCCCTCCCCCCATACATAGGGAATGCAGCTTCCAATTACAAAATGTTCAACTGCGAAAGCAATTAGTTTGTAGTTTTCTTTACATGTATAGTAAGCCACATATATTTGGTTTGAATACGGATTTTAAAAGCTTAATGTGTAAACACTTAATCATATACTAAGGACAATGGTTTTTGTATACTAAGGGTAAAATAAAATTTTAGATTTTTAGTGGTAATGATACAAACAATTTTCAAGATGTCTTTGTCATTGTACATCTAGTAAACACACACTATAAACATTTTGAGAGTAGAATTTGAATCTGTGCATATTTTCTTTTTTCAATACTGTGATTACCTTTATATATTCAACGCAGCTTTTGGCTCAGCCTTAAGTTATATACAACAAAACAACTACTGGCTGACTTCTGTTCTTTGCAAATATTTCATATTCCTTTGCCTTTTTCTCCCATGATCAACAGAATATGTTAATAAAGGTGGTATTATTAGGCTATGAGATGAAACTTTTCTCTTTGCATCATAACCAGACCAGGTAAGGATCAAACTTCTAATTCCTCAGTAGCAAACTGAGTAACTCAACACAAACCATTGCCATTCATTTTCTACTTGACAGTCTAATTATGTTTGTGATTTCATCAGGCTGGCCCTATGTCTATTCTATATTCCATTCAATAACCATTAAGCTATTGTTGCTCAATAAATCATTACTGATAGTGAAACAAATCTAGTTTTAAAAATTACAGCTGAATGGAAATGCATTTATTTACTTTGTTAAAGTAATTATAAAACAAGTATTTCCTAAATAGATCATTTAACCACAACATGCGATAAAACTACTCTTTTCTTCCCTCAGCTTGCTTTAAAAAGATACTCTTTAAACAGTAGAAAGTGATACTAAAACATTTTAAGGATCCCTGTAATTAGAAATACTAGTATTAAAGTCCTAGAAAAACCTATTGAAACATCTTAAGAGAAACTAAAAATAACAAATAGTAATTTTTGAAAAGTGTAATTTGGAGCTTCTACATCACTTGTACCAAGAAAGAGCCCATTCTGGTTAATTTTGGTGAAGACAAGAAATGACATTTGACCTTTTCCTTTATCAGAAGATGAAGTACCTGAGTTTTAACTTACCCTGAGTGGATTTTCATTAAGGTATGGGGGTTCGCCTTCCACCATTTCAATTGCCATAATCCCCAGAGACCAGATATCAACTTTCGGACCATATGCTTTTCGAGTCACCACCTCAGGTGCCATCCAATAGGGAGTTCCCACCATAGTGCTTCGTTTACTTTGCTCAGGGGTAATCTGAGCACAGAACCCAAAATCAGCTACAGAGAAGAAAAATCTGTTAAAATTAGTTCAAATTATATTTATTACTATAGGACACTTTCAGATATGGCTGTAGTTTCCTTTCTTAGACACGGAGCTTCCACAACTGCCTAGCTCATATCCCTTTGTACCTGATCTCTCATCTAGTCCTGATTTTGAGTCTGAAATAACTGATATGATGCCATTTTCACTGGACCTCAATCTGGTTTTCTCCAACATAAGAATATTTCAGTCTTCTAATTAAGTATCTGTCCTTCATGTGATGGGGTCACTAGAAATTCTGAAATATTACTAGACCCTCCCCAAAATCTGGGCACAATCTATAGGAACACAGTGTTAAAAATTATTTGCTTCAAACTGAGGTCAAAATGCTTTCAAACCAATAATTTTTAATGGCCATTCTCTTCTCAAGATAGACAGCAAAAGAGTAGAAATATCCGGATACTCTCTCAAATACCATCAGAACCAAAATACCTACTCAATTTAACAGAGCCATCCATCCCAAGGAGAATATTGTCACTCTTTATGTCTCTATGGATCACTTGGTTTGAGTGCAAGAAATCCAAAGCTTGGAGGCACTATTGAATTAAAAAAAAAGTTAATTATATCACAAATAATTTTTTAAGTTTAATCTACATAAATTTGGGGCAGGAGTCTAATTTTATGTCGCCAAGTTAAATAGATAACGAAGTGCTTTGACACCATTTTGAAATCATATTACCATTTACATCAGTGATGCAATTTAGCATTATACATATGAAAGCTCTTGTGTAAGGCTAGGATATGAAGAGTGATGGTGTGATAAGTAGCACCAAATCATTAACACAGCCAAACTGACCAATTAATATAATCAAACTTTGACTTAGTTATCTAGAGGATATGAATTCACCTTGGTCTTAAATAGATGTAGTAAGCTTCTGTTTCCATGGTATGATTTGATTCAGTAGGTCTTGAGTGAAACCCAAGAATCTGCATTTAAAACAAGTGCCCTGAGCTATTTCTGATGGACAGCCAGAATTGAGGTCCACTATGAAGTAACAATAGACACTTGTTTGGAATATGTTTTGCACTATAATACTAGAAAATGGAAATAACAGACTCAGGGCCCAATATATTCCTAAATATTAAAAGTTTGATTCATTGCATAAATAGAAAATATATGTTTTTAGTGGATATGTTTCCATGTTTGTGGAGCAGGAAATGAGAATGAGAGGAGAACAAAGGAGGAAAAACATTTATAGGAACAATTTAAAATAAAGCAAAGACTAGCTGACATTACTCGCTTTTCTTTTGTTTTTCTATCAATGGTTTTCAAGTTTCAGTGGTTCAGAGTTCCTAATGTATCTATAGAATATCTGAATGTGGTAGATGGTAAGGTCCAAGATAAAATTCCAATGAAGAGACTTTTTAATATTGAAAATTAATATAATAAAATATTATTGGTTTAAATTGAAAATAAGTATTATGACACTGTTATTAGAAAAGAGGCAGGCACTTAAAACACATTAGAGGGCCATGAGGGATGCCCAACTTGTACTGTGAAAGTAACTACTTTCCAGGCTGAGGGAAAACCTTGGTTAAGTTATTTTCTAAAAATGATGTGATTATAATATGGTTTGTACTTTTACTTAGTAGTTATTTTGTCTTGGATGTGCAATGTGTATACAAAATAACTACTAAGTAATTTTTTTTCCAAATAAGAAAGAAGTTCCTTGCCAGCATTACTATTTTTTATGTTCACTGAAACTTAAAACCATTCAGGCTTAGATATGTACCCTGTGGATAGGCATAATGGAACTCAAAAGATCCATAGTAAAGCAGCTAAAATAAAACTAGGGACTGTGGAAGAGGAGTGCTATTATGTTAGAATTTAAAGTTAATTTAGGGCCTCCAATTTTTTTTCAGTAGAAAAAAATATGCTATTATTACTTTGATGTTATAAATATTCTGAATAATCAGAGATAAAGAAAGAACTGCCAATTTTGGTGTTATCACCAGCTAGAAATGCTCTATTTTCTTACCTCTCTGCAGACAGCTGCTATCTGTCCTTCATCCATACAGGTCTCTGTGACCACATCAGTCAAAGAGCCACCAGCCAAATATTCCATGACTACCCATAGTTCATCACCTACTAAGTAGCTATAACAAAAAAACAAAACAAAAAAAAGGGGGGGGGGAAGACATTGACTCCTGAGAAAGTGGGGACTCTTCCATATGCCTATTAAAAAGGTAATTTGCATTAAGTTTCTATGCATTTGATTATATTAAATAACAAGAAGATAATATTGCCCTAGCTCGTTTTGCTCAGTGGATAGAGTCTTGGCTTGCGGGCTAAAGGGTCCTGGGTTCGATTCCCAGTCAAGGATACCTACTTCGGTTGCAGACTCCATCCTTGGCCCTGATGCAGGAGGCAACTGATGTTTCTCTCCCTCTCTCTCTCTTTTCATTTCCCTTCCACTCTCTCTAAAAATCAATGGGAAAATATCCTCAGGTGAGGATTAACAGAAGAAGAAGAAGAAGCAGAAGCAGGAGCAGGAGCAGGAGCAGGAGTAGGAGAAGGAGAAGGAGAAGGAAAAGGAGAAGGAGAAGGAGAAGGAGGAGAAGGAGAAGGAGAAGGAGAAGGAGAAGAAGGAGGAGGAGAAGATCAGTGATAGTGATGAAACATTTCCTTAACATTGGAAGAGAATATTTATGGAAATCAAAGGACCACTAGATATGACTGTGCACAATAGAGGAAGGAAAAGAACAGGGAGGGTTCTGGTTACTGACTACTATATTCCTTGTAAAAGCTAGTTTCAGTGAACAGGACCAATGGATAGCCCTTTTGGATAACCCAAATCACAATGTTGACTTCTTGTACTGAACTGGACACATGGCATACAGATATACAGAATATTTATTCAGATCTTGGCATTATTATTTTTTTAATTCTACTGAATTGATTACTGAAATGTTTTCAAGTAGTCACTAAATCAAAGAGATTAATGTTTGCAATGAATTTACTGTGATGAAGTGTCAGTTCTGATAGAGGTCAGTTGTGACACTTTATGAAACACTGATTTCAACTATAAAATTTGACCCTCCCTTTTTTGTCTCCCTTTCCTCTCCTGTACTACTGGTCCACCTGGTGCAAGACACAAAAAGCAAAATCCTAAGCTCCCTGATATTGTAGACACAGTCTTATTTACTTTGTACCCCCAGAGTACACAGCACAGTGGTGCTAAACAAACACTTATTGAAATTGAAGGAGACAAATGTTAACCACAATTGAAGAGCTGGTGCTGTCTTTAAATCCTTATTTATTTATTTATTTATTTATTTATTTATTTATTATTTTTATAACCCACTGCTAATATCACTGATGAAAGAGACATTCATTACCTGGTCTAAAAAAAGGTTTAAGATTAAAATTTCAATTCCCTGGGCCTCACTATCAGTTAATTACAAAGCACACATTAAATCAGTGCCATCTTAGACAGGCTTCCTCATTTAGACACCCAGAAACTGCACTAGCTTCAAACAAACATTTGTTGAAATTTAATACATTACAGCCCTGTCCTATATGCAGTATGCTGTTTCCTGCAAACAAGAAGTCATGATTCTTAAAAGGAAATTACAAAAAGAGCTCGTGTTTAAAAAAAAAGACTATAAAATGTGTCTTAAAACATTTGATGGATGGACAAAGATAAACAGATGCAAGTTTATCAATAGATCTGATACTACATTTTGTAACATTTGACAAATATTTATACAATGGAAGCTAAATAGATCCTATATAAAAGTAATTTGCCAATAAAATGGCATTCCATAAAAAACAAAACAAACAAACAAACAAGTACACAATTAGAGAGCACACTTACCTATCTAAATAATTAACAATATTGGGGTTCTTATTTTCCCTCATGACCAGAATTTCATTAATAATTAATTCCTTTTTGGGCTGCTGTTGAAGGTTCATCTGCTTTATGGCTACCTGAAAGATGATTAAAATATAAGAATGTGTTATAATTATTAGGCGAAAAACAAACATCCATATTTTGGGGTATACAAATTCTTTATCTTAAGAAGCTTTGTCTTGGTGCCACAAAGCCCCCTTTTCTGTGGTTAATCATGAGTAAACTATCCACTTCAGATACTTTAGACACCAATAAAGAAAACTGCAATATTAATCCAGTAGTATCCATTTTTTTCAGGCGTAGATGCCATCAAAGAGGAAATCTGATTAATATGAATAAAGAAAAATAAAAGTCAGGATTGAATATTAGCACTTACCTCTTGTCCTGTTGCAATGTCAAGTGCTGTATAGACAGTACCCGATGCCCTGTGAAGGTGAAAATTATCAACTGAATAAGCAATTGAAGTGCTATCAATATGTTGTCTTTGAAATAAATGTAATTGTTTTTAGAAGAAGGATATCAACAAACTCAAGATTAAAGGGTTAAGTAAAAAGGTAACAACCATTTTGTACAGTAATTACACCAGAAATAGTTATGGCATATTTCTTTTGGTGGGCCAGGAAATCCAGTCAGACTTTCTGGCAGCAATCTATGTATCATGGTACTACACAGTAATAAACTGAGCAAAGTGGTCTTGCTTCTTTTAGAAATATCCTGGAACATTTTAAATACTCTTGGGATGTTGCAACAACCAACATGAGAGTTATCTAATTAAACTTAAGTATAGTTTAAGAAAGAATATATATATTTTTTGCTAGCCAACTGTAAGTTAATTGTTTATTTTATCATATAAACAGAGTAGCTTTAAAATATATTTCTAATTCTTAATATTTTCATCTAACAATAAATAATTCTCAGTGTTGTACTAATAGCTACACAAACCAATAACATGGCTTTACTGTTAAACTTTTTTTTTTCCTTTTTGCTATATTTCTCAACAGCTTCTACTATGAGGTTACACTCCACTATGCTTTTAAAAACATATCATTTTTTAACTCTTGGTAGTACTCATGCATCCATTATAATTTGAATTACAAGGCTCCTTTGCTTTCAAGTAGAAATTGTCTAATAAAGCTGACTTCATGGTAAAATTTTGTGTAACACTTATGCATCCTAAAAGACCTCCCCTCCCTCTCATCTCCAGGAAAAGCAAAAAGTTATTTTTATGGAAATGTTGGTGGTGAATAAAAAAAGAGTAGGAAGGGGAGAAGGGGGGAGGGGCGGGGGGAGTAGAGATCAGTTCTGAGATTCACCAGGAATAGTAATGCTTTAACACTGCTGCTTAAACTTTCTGGTAATTGTATCTCTTTTGTTCTCTATTTATCCCTTGTTGTTTTGTTTTTTGAGTCCAGAAATTCTCTTGCTATGTCAGCCATCTCCTTGTCATTTTTCCCTCTGGATGAGCTAAAATATTTATCACAGGCCTAGGAAGTTTACATTACCTATTCCTAAGGATTAAAATTGGTGGTATAGTTTAAGGAATATTTGAGTACTAACAGAGATTTGAGTTCTAATGTTTGTCCTAACATTAACAAGCTGTGTGACCTTAGGCTAGTCACTTCCACTCTCTGTGTTTCAGTGCCCTCACTTGGAAAATAGTAATCACAATAACAGAAAACATATATTGAACATGTTGCATGTGTCAGACACTGCATTAAGAATTTTATATAAATGGTCTTATGTCATCCTTACTGTATTCATATAAGGCAAGTGCTATTTTCCCATATTATAGATAATGAATCTGAGACTCAGAGAAGTCAATAAACCTGTCCAAGGTTATAGAGTTTATAATCTAAGCCTGTCTGACTCTGATCTGAATAATATAGAAAATGGGTTACTTAATTTTTAATATTCTTTAATTCCATGATCTAGCATCTATAAAGTGTACTGCTCTTGTCACTCTGCATGGGTATTTAAATATCTATTGAAATTAGAGTGAGAAATCACATTTAATCAATAGGTGCTCTCTAAATCAGAATTTGGTAATTTCAGAAATTCCTTAGGTTTAAGGATTATATTAAACAAGTTGCTCTCTCAATATTATATGTTTGAAATTCTGGGCTCAGAACACATAGCTGGTGTTCAATAACTATTTGTTGAATAATTCAAATAATAAAAGTATTTTTAAGCAAGCATGCAATAGAGCATTTCTTCTTTTACTCAAGTTTATATAAAACTCTCCCCTCTTGGGAAAAAAAAATCAGACCTTCCTGATTTTAGAAGCCAGTTTGTGTTTTGCCATACCAAACGTAGAATTACCTGAATTTAAAGGAACAGGTCACCTCAACCTAGTGTTTACTAGTATTTCAGTTGTATAAGCCCTAAGCAACTACTCAAATCTCTATGCAGAATTAAATTTAAAAATGCCTTTACTTGGTTTATTCCTATATATGTATTCCACTTGCTCAATTCCTTCAGAAGCAAAAAAATGATGCAATCTGCAAAATTAGATAAAGTATTTATCTCTTAGAAATCAGAGAATTAAATGACACAGTCTGTGTAAGCATTTAGCAATGTTCCCAGATCAGAATTAGTGTTTTAATATGGTAACTGCTAATATTGTCATTGCTGTTGCTGTTGCTGTTATTGGTTTCACAGTAAGGATGACGCACTTGCTAAATTATTAGTTGGCTCTTTACATTCTCCCAGTTAAAACATTGTTAGCGTCCATCACTATTTTTATTTTTATTAATTTTAAAAAATATATATTTTATCGATTTTTTACAGAGAGGAAGGGAGAGAGATAGAGAGCTAGATATGTCAATGAGAGAGAGACACCAATCAGCTAGCTGCCTCTTGCACACCCCCTACTGGGGATGTGCCAGCAACCAAGGTACATGCCCTTGTCCAGAATCGAACCCAGGACCTTTCAGTCTGCAGGCCGACGCTCCATCCACTGAGCCAAACCAGTCCCAGCTAGTTTTTTAAAATATGTATTATATTGATTTTTTACAGAGAGGAAGGGAGAGGGATAAAGAGTTAGAAACATCAATGAGAAAGAAACATAGACCAGCTGCCTCCTGCACACCCCCCACCAGGGTTGTGCCTGCAACCAAGGTACATGCCCTTTTCCAAAATCGAACCTGCGACCTTTCAGTCTGCAGCCTGACCCTCTATCCACTGAGCCAAACTGGCTTTGGCTCTATTACTATTTTTAAAAAGGACAAGGAATATTAGAATACTTTTTAGAAGCTCCATGTCCTTTTTTTCTTACTAAAGTGATTTTGCCTTTTTCTTTTTCTTCCCCCCCCCAGCTGAAATATTTATTTATTTATTTTATTTAATATATATTTATTGTTCAGATTATTACAATAGTTTCTTTCCTCCCCCCCCCCCCCGCAATAGTGCCCCTCCACCCGGTTCCCACCCACTCTCTGCCCTTATCCATAGGTGTACAATTTTTGTCCAGTCTTTTCCTGCACCCCCCATAAACCTTTCTCCCTGAGAATTATTAGTTCACTCTCTATGCCCCTGATTATATTATATTCACCAATTTATTCTGTTCCTCAGATTTTTAATTCATTTGATTTTTGGGTTCACTTGTTGATAGATATGTATTTGTTGTTCATAATTTTTATCTTTACATTTTTCTTCTTCCTCTTCTTAAAGAATACCTTTCAGCATGTCATATAATACTAGTTTGATGGTGATAAACTACTTTAGTTTTTTCTTATCTGTGAAGCTCTTTATCTGACCTTCAATTCTGAATGATAACTTTGCTAGGTAGAGTAATCTTGGTTATAGGCTCTTGCTATTCATCACTTTGAATATTTCTTGCCACTCCCATATGGCCTGCATAATTTCTGTTGATAAATCAGCTGACAGTCATAAGGGTACTCCCTTGTAGGTAACTAGTTGTTTTTCTCTTGCTGGTTTTAAGAATCTTTGTCTTTTGCTCTTGACATTTTAATTATGATGTGTCTTGGTGTGGTCCTCTTTGGATTCCTTTTGTTTGGGGTTCTGTGCACTTCCTAGACTTGTAAGTCTATTTCTTTCACCAGGTGGGGGAAATTTTCAGTCATTATTTCTTCAAATAGGTTTTCAGTATCTTGTTCTCTCTCTTCTTCTGGCACCCCCATTATTCTAATGCTGGTACACTTTAAGTTGTCCCGAGGCTTCTTACACTATCTTCATATTTTTGGATTCTTTTTTCTTTTTGCTTTTCTGGCTGAGTGTTTTTTGCTTCTTTGTATTTCAAATCTTTGACTTGATTTTTGCATTCCTCAAGTCTGCTATTGGGTCTCTGTATAATATTTTTTAAATTTCCGTCAGTGTATGTTTAATTTCTAGTTGGTCCTTTTTCATATCCTCAAGGGTCTGGCTAAATTTATCTGCCTTTTCTAGGAAATTCTTGAAAAACCTTATAACTGTAGTTTTGAATTCCATATCCAGTCATTTATTTTCCTCTATTTCTTTTGTTTGTGATCTGTTACTTTGTCTCTGCATTTTTGCTGCTTTCCTGAGTTGGTAGGGTAGCTTTGTGTGCTAGGTTTCTTATATGGCCCAGTGGGCCAGCCTCCCCAGTCACCTGAGTTGGATACTCTTGGTGCACTCCTTTGTGGTCTGTGTGTACAGCCTTGTTGTACTTAAGTATTGATTGTTGTTGGTATCACTCGGATGAATTGACCTCCAGGCCAATTGGCTATGTGTATCAGCTGTGTCTATGCTGGGAGACCTGTGCTGGAGATATCCTTATTGGACCAGACTTGTAAAATTGCAAAAGCCTCTGTGCTCTGCTTGGATGGGGTAGAGTCTCAGGGCTAAGCACACAGTCTTGGCCTTCCATCAGCCCTGCCCTTGTGCACATGCCTCCATACCTCTGCCTTCCAGGGCTCCCCTGAGTTTCTGCCTGACAGTCCAGATTCCCCCAGGCTCGCCTGGAACTGGGATTCAGTGTAGTCAGAACTGAGGTTCAGTGCAGTGAGGAATTTCTGAATCACTTCCACTAGGGAGATTTTGTGGCAACCTCAGCAGTCAGTCTTCTCTGTGCACACTCACGAGCCTTCATACCCCTGCCTGCTGCGGCTTCCCGAAGTCTCCATGAAACTTTCTATCTGACAGTCCAGACTCCTCCCGTATGAGCTTGAGTCCATGGGTTTTGCCAGGAACTGGGGTTCAGTACAGTCAGAACTGGGGTTCCATACAGTCAGGGGCTTCCTTCCCTCTCCCACCAGAGAAAGCCAGCCAGGCACTCTGCCACCCTTCCTCTCTGTATGCATGTCTCTGTATCTCAGCTCTTTGCAGCTCCTCTGATTCTGTGTGTGCTTTCCTCTTTCCTTCTAGTTGTGGAATTTCCACTCAGCCAGCTTTACTGTGGTTCTGGGTGATGTTCATTCTGTCTTTTAGCTGTAGTTTTGAAATTGTT